ACGAGAATTGGATTGGTGACTTGGATTGCCCAGGCTCCAGAACAATGGGAAAGACATGCCTTTTTCCTTTGTAAATTACCCAGTCTGTGGTCCTCTGTTACAGCAACACAGTGTGGAGTGAGACCAATGACAAAAGGGAATTTCAGATAGAATTAAGGCTATGGACCTTCAGATAGAAAAATTAGCCTGGGTTATCTAGTTGGGCCCAATTTAAATACATATGCCCTTAAAACAGACAACTTCCTCCAGCTAGAGCAGGGAGAGAGGAAGAAGAAGATAAAGTTAGAGAAATCTGAAGTGTGAGTGGGGCTCTGCCCACCATGTTGGCTTTGAAGATGACAGAAGGGATCATGAGTCAGGAGCTCAGCCTCACCACCATGTGAAACTGCATTCTGCCAGCAACTTGAATGGGCTCAGAAGAGAACTTACCCCGAGAACCTCCAGAAAGGAACGGCTCTACTTATTTGTAGTTTTGTCCTCATAAGACTCTTAAGTAGAGGGCTCAGATGAGCCACTTTGTACCTGGACTTCTGGCCTATTTAACTATGACATAATAGATGGATGTTGTTTTAAGTCTCTAAATTCATTTAATTAAGGTAATTCGTTATGACAGTAATAGAACAGTAGCACAGTTTCTGATGAGAAGTCAGCCATTAGTTGGATTAATTGCTAAGCAGCACGTAATATGCGACTTTAACTGCTTTTTATGTTTGGCTTTTAGCAGTCTGACTCTCATGTGCCTTAGTATGCTTGTCTTTGTTTATGCTGCTTAGGATTCATTTTACATGAGCAAATCGATGTCTTTCCTAAAATTCAGGAAAATTTCAGTCATAATGTCTTCTAATGTTTTTTTCTGCCCCATTTTATTTCTACAGCTAGTATTCTAACATAATCTTTAAGAACTGTAAGCTTTGTTCATTTTCAAATACATCTTTTCTCTGTGTTTTTCATGTTGGACAATTTCTGTGGGTTTGTCTTTCAGTATATTTACTCTGTCATTTCCATTCGGCTAGGAAGTCCACTGAGGAGAGATTTAATTTCAGAAACGGTATGTTTTTAAGTTCTAGAACTTCCCCTTGGTTCTTTTTCACTGTTTCTGTTCCCATTTCTCTGTTGAGATTTGTTAGTTACATACAACATTTCATTCATTTGGGGACTGGATTTCATTGATTTTATTGTATCTTAAAGAATGTGTTTCAATTAATAGGTAGACAGATGACAGATAGACAGTTGATAGACAGATGATAATGTTTTTTTTTTTTTTCTTTTTTTTTTATTGCATTTTAGGTTTCGGGGTACATGTGATGAACATGCAAGATTGTTGCATATGTACACACATGGCAGTGTGGTTTGCTGCCTTCCGTCCCCTCACCTGTATCTGTCATTTCTCCCCATGCTATCTCTTCCCACCTCCCCACCCCCCGCCCCTCCCCCATTTCCCCCCAACGGACCCCCGTGTGTAGTGCTCCCCTCCCTGTGTCCATGTGTTCTCATTGTTCAACACCCGCCTATGAGCGAGAATATACGGTGTTTGATTTTCTGCTCTTGTGTCAGTTTGCTGAGAATGATGGTTTCCAGGTTCATCCATGTCCCTATAAAGGACGTGAACTCATCGTTTTTGATGGCTGCATAATATTCATTGCAGCACTGTTTACAATAGCAAAGACCTGGAACCAACCCAAATGCCCAACGATGATAGACTGGATAGGGAAAATGTGGTACATATACACCATGGATAATGTTTTATATTTTTAATAATTTTGAATTCTACCGTGGACATTATGAATGTTAAACTGTAGTATTCTAGACACATACTTTTCTCCATTGAGTATTCTTTTCTTCCTCAGTAGGGAGTGTCCTTGGCTAGGATTGAACTGTAACTGTTTCCTTGCATGGCAGCTCCAGCCTCCGTTCAGGCCTTTGCCTCTCGTTTTTCTTTTGGGTCTATTCCTTGAACGCTGGGTTCAGGGACGCTGGCAGTCAGAGTCTGGGCACTCCCTCTCTTGGTCTTTGTTTTCTGGGATTTCCCCATTATTTTCAGTGTTCATGGATTCCCAGCTTCACCTTTCTCATTCCCCAGGGAAGAAAGATCAGCGATTTTGTGAGGTGCACCCCACCATCATGTATGCCACCCCTTTTGCAGGAGAGTAGCCATCTGTGCCTTTGTACTTCATCTATTGATTTCACAAATTTGTGTATCAAAACCCCAAGTACAGGAGGGTTACCTGTGACAGACAATGAAGGGAGAAATAACCCCGTGACCTGACACATGTGGACACTGTTCAGTCGTTTTCTTTTAGTAAAAGGACTAGCACCAGGTGTGCCGTGTGAAAACATTCATACTCAGTGCACAGGAGTGCTGTCTCCACGTTTCAAACCACTCTTGGTAATACCAGTGTTCAATGTTTTCTAACATGATAGCTGGAATGGATACTTTCTTTTATTTTTAATTTTTTTACTAAAAGAGGTTATGTATAAATTTTTAGTTTTTGTCTAATTATGACCTTTAAATAGATTTCTATTGTTTTTTTTTCCTGGATTATTTGAAAAAGTACTTATATAATTGTCTTAGTCTGTTTTCCATTGCTATTAAAGAACACCACAATACCTGGGGCTGGATTATTTTATTTTATTTTATTTTATTTTATTTTGAGGCAGGGTCTCTCTCCAGTCGCCCACACCTAAGTGGTAATTTTTTAACAAGCCCACTCTCACCTTAACTAATCCAGTCCCAGGAGAGCAAGAACTCACTCATGCCTGCAGAATTAACCCAGTCAGACAGAGCGGTATAACACTCTTGACCTGATCACCAAATTGTGCACACATCAATTCTGGGGACCCACTGAAACCACGACAATAATGAAGATCATTAATGCTTTGTCTCTTACACATGTCACAAATCATTTTCCCAATTTATCTAGCTTTCACTTGTGTGGTATTTTTTGAATATAGGACGTTTAACATTTCTGTAGTCAAATCTATCACGGCTGAGAAACAGTATCACTTAGTAATGAGGTTCCTTGCTTGGCAGTCAGAGAGACCAGAGTTCAAATTCTGCCTCCACCTATTATGAGCTGCGTGACTTTGGTGCACGGCTTAACCTCTGATCCATAAAGTGGTCACAGCAGGGTCAAGCTTTGTGGAGTTAACACACTGTACAAACCATAGATGTAAAGTCCGGATGCCAGAGATGGGAAGTGAAGAGTGTTGTCAGTGGTGCTGTCAATGGCAGCTGCTACCGGTCCTTTCTATGGTGAGGATTATTTCCTGCCCCTCTACCTTTTTTTTTTTTTTTTTTCATGCTTAGAGAGTGCTTCTCCACCTCAAGTGATTTGTATATTTACCTACATTTTCTTTAATGCATTTTTGTTCTTAAGATCTATCCCAGCCCCACGGAAGTGTTAAATTTATAAAATATTTATTTTATGCGGATTTTAAATTGTTTATGAACTCAGTGCTGTTTTAGTTAGTTAGTTAGTTTGGTTTTTTGAGACAGTCTTGCTTTGTCGCCCAGGCTGGAGTGCAGTGGTGTACTCTCCGCTCACTGCAACCTCCACCTGCTGGGTTCAACTGATTCTCCTGCCTCAGCCTCCTAAGTAGCTGATTACAGGCACGTACCCCCACGCCCAGCTAATTTTTGTATTTTCTTTTTCTTTCTTTCTTTTTTTTTTTTTGGAGATGGAGTTTCGCTCTTGTTACCCAGGCTGGAGTGCAATGGCGCGATCTCGGCTCACCGCAACCTCCGCCTCCTGGGTTCAAGCAATTCTCCTGCCTCAGCCTGCCGAGTAGCTGGGATTACAGGCACGCGCCACCATGCTCAGCTGATTTTTTGTATTTTTAGTAGAGATGGGGTTTCACCATGTTGACCAGGATGGTCTCGATCTCTTGACCTCGTGATCCACCCGCCTTGGCCTCCCAAAGTGCTGGGATTACAGGCGTGAGCCACCGCGCCCGGCCTGTATTTTCAATACAGACGGGGGTTTTACCATGTTGGTCAGGCCGATCTCGAACTCCTGACCTCCTGATCCATCTGTCTCAGCCTCCCAAAGTGCCTTTTTTTTTTTTTTTTTTTTTTTTTTTTGAGACAAGATTTTGCTCTGTCACCCAGGCTGGAGTGCACTGGTGCACTCATTGCTCATTGAACCTCAAACTGCTGAGCTCAGAAGATGCTCTCACTTTGGCTTCCCAACGTGCTAGGATTACAAGCATGAGCAACCGTGCTTGGCCTACTTATTATAATTTTTAATGCACATTTTTATACTGGTAGGTCATACTTCTCTGCTATTCATCATATTCAAATCCTTTTCCTACACTTTCTTTTTACTCTTTCAGAGGAACTTTAGGTTATTGGCTATTTTTCTTGGGCTGGCATAAAGTATATGAGGAAAATGACAATTTCAAGCTTTGAATCTAAGGAACACTGTAGGTCTCTCCGTTTATTTCCATTTCCTTTCATGATTTTCATCAAGTTTTTTCCCCCACTGGGCACAGCTGGTTAAGCCATTCGCTAGCACTTTTACGTTGCTGCCAGGTATCAGATCCATCTGATGGCGCATTCTTTCTCATTTTAACTGGTACTTAAGAGAGTACATACATTTTTATCAGCTGCAAGTATTGCTTTTTACATTTTTCCTTTAAAATCTCATTTCATTATCGGAAACATCTAGCACCATGTTAAACGGTGCAACACACAGCTGAAGAGAGTTCTTGATCTTTTCACGGATAGTATCTATTCCCATTTTGCAGATAAGGAAGATAAGGGAGCTGGGGCCCGGGTGACTGGGGAACTCGCCCCGATCCCGTGTCTGATTTGAGCCCAGGCAACCTGGCCCCGCTGGGTGAAAAGTCCCACCCCAGAGAAGAAACGCAGTGCGTGGCCGCGCTGTGCCCCCACCGCGAGGAGAGGCCTCTGGGTCCCCGTCCCCGCGACGCAGCGGCCGGGCGGGGCTTCCCGCAGCGGGGCGCTGTCGGCCCGTGGTGCGGGGTTCGGGCCGCGGGCGGGGAGTCCCGGTGCGCTCCTGCGGACAGCAGGTGTTGCTTTGGCCGTGGCGCGGGGCGTCCAGGCGCGCGGCGTGGGGAGGGAGCGGGACAGGGCGTGGGCGTCGGGAGCGCCGGGCGGAGCCTTGAAGAGTGGCCGGGCGGGCGGCGGCCCAGACGCGCCCAGGGACCATGCCCGGCAACGGCAGCGCGCTGCCCAACGCCTCGCGGCCCGGGCCCGGCGGGGACGCAGCGCGGCCGCAGCCCTCGTGGCTGGCGTCCGCGCTGGCCTGCGTCCTCATCTTCACCATCGTGGTGGACGTCCTGGGCAACCTCCTGGTCATCCTGTCTGTGTATCGGAACAAGAAGCTCCGGAACGCAGGTAGGGCCCGCGCCGCGCCCCTGGACCCGCGCTCCGGACGCGGCGGGCTGGGAGTCGCTCGGCCTGCCCGCGAAAGCGCCTTTCCGTGACCCCGAGTCGCGGCCCTGCGAGGGGGGACCCCTGCGGGGACGCCCCGAGCTGGTGTCCTGTCTCGGGTTTACCGGATCGAGACGCGTCGGGTCCAGGCTGCGGAAAGTTCCTCCGCGCCGTTCGAACGGGTCCACGGCGTGGTCTGACACGTGGTTTGGTTTTCCTAACTTCGCTGTAACTTGGAGACGCGGGAGCGGGCAACACGTTGGAGCGGCCGCCGCGGTTTTGCTGCTCGAAGTGGTCTGCGGCCGCGAACCTGCGGCGGAAAGAGGCCCCCGCATAGGCTGTGTCCGCAGCCCGCAGCTCCTCCGGGTGAACGGGTCACTGCGAACTCGGACGCGGCCGTGTCGGAGGAGGCGGGCGCACTGGCACTGTCCCCCGTTCTGTGTGACCGGGGGACTGCCCTCACGAGGATTACGCAGCTGCCGATAATTCTGTGTTTGGGTTAAACTTGCCTCTTCCTCTGAGCAATTACTTGAACTGGTTTGTTCTGGTGGGAAGCTGGGGACAGTTTGCTCTTGGGATACCGGATGTTCAGACTCTAGGTGATGATTAGATGCTCGGTTCTCTGAAGAAACTAGTCTTTTATTTGGAGGATCCAAGGGGTGGGCAAGAAAACATGCACTTAAATGTCTGCCAAGATCGATATTTTTGTTCTAAACAGGCAATTGAGAAAAGCTCTGATTTTGTTTAGCTCCTTTTGGGGAGACTCACCCCTGCCTGCTTTTTTCCCCTGTAATGATTTTGCAGTTTGCAGTTTGAAAATTAGTTGATAAGCACCTAGTGATAGGAATTGAGTTTGAGTTAGTAAACTGAATAAGCTCACTTGGGTAGGTAATTGACTTAAACTGAAGGAATTCTGCCTTCAAGAAAAGGCTCATTCCTTCCTAGCAATAAAACCGGCTTTCTTTGGACCAAACAGATTGTGAGCACTGGGATAACTGAATCCCAGGGCCGCCCCGTGGTGTGGTGCCGTTGTTAACTCACCTTACAGAGGAGAAACTGAGGCTTCACGTTGTTCCCAGGGACTGGAAGTGTGAGCAGGGTTCAGTGCCCGGAGCCGGTCTCCAGAGCTCATCCTGCTTCCTTGCTGGCAACACCTGCAGCACTTGGGAAGTTTGAATTCTGCAGAATCTTTCATTTAAAAACTGTTCACAGCCAAGCACCATGGCTCATGCCTGTAATCCCAGCACTTCGGGAGGCTGAAGCGGGGAAATCACCTGATTCAGGAGTTCGAGACCAGCCTGGCCAACATGGAGAAACCCCCGTCTCTACTAAAAATACAAAAAATTAGCAGGTGTGGTGGTGCACACCTGTAATCCCAACTACTTGGGAGACTGAGGCAGGAGAATTGCTTGAATCTGGAGGCACAGGTGGCAGTGAGCTGAGATTGTGTCTATGCACTCCAGCCTGGGCAACAAGAGTGAAACTCCATCTCAAAAAAATAAAGTCAAATAAAATAAAAAACAAAACTGTTCACACCTGAACAGTTTTACTTCTTATGTTTTCTGAAGAACTTAAGAAAAGGGCTCCTTACACACACTTTGTATTTTATTTGCTAAGGCGTGCCCTTAAGAGGACAGTGCATAAAATACTGCATTCCTGTAGCTGCCTGGAAGACCCTTAGTGAGCTCTAATCACACAGCTTGTCTAGTTCCATATTTTTATGATAGGGACTTTTTGTTTATAGGTGCAGCTGCAGCCATTTGAGGATTTCAGAATGGATGGTGATTTGGAACAGTGATAAAGATAGGTGATTCAAATATAAGTTTCGGTATGCTTGTTAGAAGTTTTGATGATTTTTCAGCTGAATTAATTTGGTTGGCTTTAAGGACGAAATGATGGGAAGAAGAGAATGGAAGAAATGAGAATGCGAAGGCAGCTAAGCTTTGAGCTCTCACTTTCCATTGGAAAGCCGGTATAATTGCAGGGATTTATGCCACCTTCGTCCCCTCAGGAAAATGTGTTAACATTTGCCTTCCCAGGGAAGAAATGAAAAATGGCTAGCAACCTATGTGCTGGTGACACTGGACAGCCACAGCTGACGCAGGCTGCAGGCAACCACTGGTATCTGTGGTGCCAACAGAATATTCATCTGCTCTTGTCCAAAATGTGATAATTGAATTTATCTGCCATGTCATATCTTCTGAGCACATTTGATAGCATAGTGGACGATTCCTGCAATGGAATGCTAGGACTGGATCCTGGCTGTGCACTTTCCGATTTCAGAAATCGGCGAAGATAAAAATCAAACCTCATTCTCCACATATGTCGAATTACAGATGATACCTACCTGTTTAGCCTCACAAGAATGTTGCAATGACTTGAGTGAAATGGCACATATAAGAATACTTTGAAAAGGACAAAACAAGTAATACCGTGTTGGGGTGTTTTCTGGGTACACCTAACAAGGGTGTGCTCTGTTTGTTGAAAACCATTGCACCAAAGACCTATGATGCTTGTACTTTTCTATATGTATGTTATACTTAAATAAAACTTAAACAGTATCAGGCAAGAGTGCAATACTATCTTGTCTATTCAAAATTCAATTATCTGGCCATCTAACAGAAGTAGAATACAGCCAATAAATGGAAATTAACAAAAGTGACAGGCTCTCACCCAGAGCGGATTTGTTCTAACTCAGAGTGCCACCAAACTGTCATGCTGGTGTCTAGGTCCCTGTAGATTATGAGCAGGAAATTAGGAGGAAGATTGACACATTTAAAGAAATGGCACATAATAGCAGGCAGCATGGGTTGAAATAGACTCATTAAAAGCAGGTTTGAAAAATAGAACAAGCACGACCTTCTGTGCTTACATTGTAAAGATGCAAATAACCCTGCTCACGACTGACTGCTCCTGAAAGCAAGCGCAGTGCAGCTGACATATTTATTAATTATCACCTGATCCATCAGGAGAGGTGTCATCGTGTGTGGTGTGTTCTACTTAAGAAGACAGAGGTATAATACATTTGAGAAAGATACCTGTCAAAAGCAGTTTATTATTATTTAATCTGCATGCACAGTAGGGTTAAATATTAGTAAATGTTAAAAAAAAATTGTTTCCCAGAATGGTCCTCTGGCTGGGTGGCTGACACTGGGCCTGTGCTAAGCCTCTCTTGCACAAAATTCAGGTCTCTATACAATGTTATATTTATCCATTCTGCATTACCACTCAGAGAGGACACACAGACTATGGAGCGAATTTGGACTTTGGGCCTCAGAGATCTGGTTCAAATCTTGAATGTACCAGGGCTGTTTTAAGACCCCACTTATCTTACAGGGATACTAGAAGGATAAACTTAGATTCTGCCCATCAGTCCACCTACCCATCTACCCACCCATTCATCCACCCATCCATCTACCCATCCATCTATTCACCCGTCATCCATCCGTCCATCCATTCACCCACCCACCCATCTATCTATCCATCCATCCACCCACCCACCTACCTACCCATCTACCCATCATTTTGAGGTACAAATAATAGCATTATTATGTTATTACTAGTATGCATCTGGTGATTTGTTCTTTTTAGGTTATTTTTATTTTTTAAATGTTCATATATTTTTAAGTGTATGTTTAAAAAAACAACAAACAAGTAGTCAATGTGAACGGGAAGAAAGTGAAATCAGCCAAAAATGGTTTAGAATCCCATTTGTGACATTATGCAAAATACACAAAATCTTCCTTGTCTGAGTTTTCCCTTTTGTAATAACCATGATCTCTCTGCAGCAACTAAGCTTGAGATTTAAAGACTGATTATTTCAATCTTCAGCTGTTCTTTAACATTAAGTGAATCAGCTCTAGACACTGCAGTAGCTTTCTTGGGCAAGTATGCTGCCATTGAAAACCTTTTGACGTAACTTGTACCGTAGAGATGTGGAAAATGATTATAAGCTAAGCCCACACTTCACGCCATCTCCAGTCTGAGATTTCTTGTTGGCACTGTCGCAGCTTTCCTCCTGTAGCTTTCCACAATATTTGAAATTATTGATTCAAGGCCATTTTTTACTTTTAGAGACATTTTATTGATTCCCCCCCCCCTTGTATGCTTAACTATTGTTCAGATTTCTATGACTTTTTATCCTCGTTTGTATAATATATTGTTATGGAACCCTAAGTTTTTACTTAGGGGTCCATAATGTGTCAAAGTAATTCCCAGAATCCCCTGTAAACCTTATGACAGTAGTTTCAGACTCTCAAACACATGATTGAATTTGGGTCTGATCTTTGCTTCCTCCAGCTATTCATTTCATAAGAAAGTGTTTCTGGCTGGAATTTTCAGCGTTAAATTAATCACAGATAAGATAGAGCTTCCTTTTGCTGGCTCTCAGCAGCATTTTTCTCTTGGCAATTTTGGAAGTTAACCAAGGCTAAAATAGTCCTAGATTAAACCTCCTCCTATTAGTATTTACTGCCATTTGATGGTTTTGTTGTAAAAATATCTGCATTGAAAAGTATCATGCCTTGGCAGTCACTTTAAATCTTCATAGAGTCTTTGGAGCTCATTCTGCCCCTTCTTCATTGGCACCGTTTAAAAAGAATAACCAGTACCATGCTGTTTTGATTACTGTAGCCTTGTAGTATAGTTTGAAGTCTGGTAGCGTGATGCCTCCTGCTTTGTTCTTTTTGCTTAGAATTGACTTGGCTATGCGGGCTCTCTTTTGGTTCTATATGAAGTTTAAGGTGTTTTTTTCCTTAAACTTGAAGTCCCAAAGAACTTCAAGTTCTTTGAAGAAGGTCATTGGTATCTTGATGGGGATATCATTGAATCTGTAAATTACCTTGGGCAGTATGGCCATTTTCACGATATTGAGTCTTCCTAACCATGAACATGGAATGTTTTTCCATCTGTTTGTGTCCTCTCTTATTTCGTTGAGCAGTGGTTTGTAGTTCTCCTTGAAGAGG